CGCGCTTGTTGGGCGGGTTGTGCGTGTTTGTTAGCGTGAAAACCGTCCTTTGGATGGATGTTGTCGGTGTATTGTTGTCGTGAATGTCGTGATTGTTGCTAAATACGTTTGTGGGATTGTTGTGAGGTACATTTTTATGGCTTGGCGGCGTATGGTCATGCATGGATTTTGTGTGGTAAGTGTGTGGGCTGTACTGACACGTTTTTTTGGGCATGGTGAGGGTTGAAGCCTTTGTGGCTTGTATTTGAGGGCATATAGTATTGATAATTGGGTTGAGTGATAAACATGGTAGTGGGGTCAATGAATGCAGGCAAGGGTTGTCCTGTGTGACAAATTTGATTGTAGTGCGAGTCCTTTCGGACAGGTTTGGTCTAGCCCGTGCGTGCATTCATTGAGTACGAAGGTTAGATATGGTTAAAGGGGTAGGTAGGTTAGATAGAAGTTCAAAGTCAATTCCTTGACGGCATAGGGTGGGTGCCTACCTCAGTTCAATAGGTCTCCTTTGGGACGCCTTGGTTTGGAGTGGTTGGCTTGGGGCTCGGGACTGCTCGCACCGTCCGCGAAATTGAAGTAAAGTCCGGTACTGGAAGATCATTTTGGGATCGTTTGGGCTGTCCCGGGTCGCGGGGGTTGGTTTCGGGGACTGTGTACGGCATGGCGGTGGATGACTCCTCGGTGGTCGGTGTCCGGTCTTGGTGACACTCGCCTGGGGTTGGCGGGGGTTGTGTCCGTCGTCCTCCCCGGGGAATGGTGCTCCGGAATTCCGTCTCACTTTGTGGGGCGTTGACACGTCGGATGGCCACGGTCATCTGCCATATGATGGCCGCTAGAAGGCGCCTGGTCGCTTCTCTTCTTGTCCGCTTCTTTTCCGCCGGTTTTGTCATTGCCTTTTGATTTGCTGGTGTCTGGGCTAATTTCCATCTTGATCCTGATTAAGTTTCATAATCTTTATCCTGTCGACTCTGTGTAATACGATGCAATTGTTATTATATCGCAATATTTGATGTATTACACTGTTGTAGAATCCTGTCGACTTAACCGTTCTGTGGCAATATCGTTGCGGGGTTTCTTATTGTTGGATGCGAATGGTGAGATTTGGTTGAAGCGCAGCCGTTTGAGTGGAAGTTGCAGCATACAGTTAGGAATAATCAGGACACGTGATTGAGTTTGAAAATAAAGGCAACGGGTTGGAGGAAAGAAAGTTTGATAAGAGCTGAGCGATTTGACTTATTAATTAACTGATCACATGGTGGTGATTGTACTTAGCTGTGGGATGAGCAGAGGGGGAGAGGTCTAGAGCCGATGTCACCTCCTTGGGAGCCAAAGCGTAACTGACATTTCTTGCTTTTCGATTTAACACCAAGCTTCAGTTTCTCTCTGATTGGTTGAGATATGATCACATGGTGTTTTCCTATTGGTTGACCTACTTAGTGGTTCCTCCCTAATTGGCCGGCGGCTCTCCTTGATGAAAGATGGCCTGCCTGGTATATCCGATTTCGTCAGGAAGTATTGGGTATCTTGACGCTTATAGCTTCGACGGATATTAGATACGTCCTGTTTTTGCCGGAAGTATTGAGTGCATCTTGGCTAAAATAACTTCTGCGGTCACTAGAGACGTCCGGTCTCTGCCCCTGCAATGTTGACACAGGGGTGCCAAAATAGTCGTGCCAGCTTTAGTCTTACTTCCTATATCTTTTGTTACTTTCTTTCCTCCAGTTACCTTGTTCTTTATTAAGTCTTTGAAAATCATACATGATATATACATAGTGGGTCGGGGTTGCATTTAATTATATACAAATTATGACATATATATATATTAAATCGAAGTAAGGATAGTAGAAGTTTGTTTTATGTTTAAAAGAAACATTGATGCTTTTATGCTTCCTATTTCTTACACCTATAAGTCGAAGATATATTCAAGATGGCCGCAGCCTTGCTGAAAATTGACATGGATCCAGAACAGCAGTTTTACATACCCAAGATAGAGGACATTGCGACTGCTGTGATAGAGATGTATGGAGACATCTGAGGCTCTTCATTGCACAAAACAATAACATAAAATTGACATGGACCCAGAACAGCAGCTTTACACACCCAAGATAGAGAACATTGTGACTGCTGTGATAAAGATGCATGAAGACATCTGAGGCTCTTCATTGGACACAGCAACAACAGAAAATTGACATGGACCCCCAGAACAGCAGCTTTACACACCCAAGATAGAGAACATTGTGACTGCTGTGATAGAGATGTATGGAGACATCTGAGGCTCTTCATTGGACACGACAACAACAACAGAAAATTGACATGGACCCAGAACAACAGCTTTACACACCCAAGATAGAGAACATTGCTGTGATAGAGATGTATGGAGACATCTGAGGCTCTTCATTGGACACAACAACAACAACAGAAAATTGACATGGACAAAGAACAGCAGCTTTACACACCCAAGATAGAGGACATTGCGACTGCTGTGATAGAGTTGTATGGAGACATCTGAGGCTCTTCATTGGACACAACAACAACAACAGAAAATTGACATGGACCCAGAACAGTAACTCTACACACCCAAGATAGAGAACATTGCTGTGATAGAGATGTATGGAGACATCTGAGGCTCTTCATTGGACACAACAACAACAACAGAAAATTGACATGGACCCAGAACAGCAGATTTACACACCCAAGATAGAGAACATTGTGACTGCTGTGATAGAGATGCATGAAGACATCTGAGGCTCTTCATTGGACACAACAACAACAACAACAGAAAATTGACATGGACAAAGAACAGCAGCTTTACACACTCAAGATAGAGAACATTGTGACTGCTGTGATAGAGATGTATGAAGGCATCTGAGGCTCTTTATTGGACACAACAACAACAACAGAAAATTGACATGGACCCAGAACAACAGCTTTACAAACCCAAGATAGAGAACATTGTGACTGCTGTGATAGAGATGCATGAAGACATCTGAAGCTCTTTATTGGACACGACAACAACAACATAAAATTGACATGGACCCAGAACAGTAGCTTTACACACCCAAGATAGAGAACATTGCGACTGCTGTGATAGAGATGTGTGGAGACATCTGAGGCTCTTCATTGGACACAACATCAACAACAACAACATATATTCAATAATAATTTTCTCTTCACACACAGTTTTTTTTTTTGAAGATTATTTATTGATTGAAAGTTGATTCAGAAAACAATACATAAAAAAAAAATCAATGTTATTTTTAATTCTCGACGTTGTGTATTGACTCACTGCCACTCTCCCCAGATCTATTTCAAAAATAGTTTGAAATAACACCACTAGATGGCGCTAGGTTGTTACCATTTTCTTTCTTAGTCTTCTGCTTACAAAAAAAAAAAAAACTATACATTTGTATTATATAGAAATAAATAAATAGTGTTTATGAGATTTTTCATAATGATTGGAAATGTCAGAAAACTTCAGAGTTTGAGTATCTATGCAAATATAACCACAAAAATCTTTATTAAGACATTTTGGTATTATACAGTTCTCCGAGTAGAATAAGGTATATACAGAAATAACAGCAAATTGTAATAATAATCAGAAATATTATAAAAATAAATGAAGTTTCTCCAGGGTTAAGTTTCTTGTACAACCTTTTATTTTCAAGTTTTCGGACTTGTTAGTCCTTCAACAGGAGTATCACGATAATAAATTGATGATATATACTATTTTTATATACAAATTAATTTTTACATATTTTAAATATTAACGGAGAAATTATTAGGGGAGAAAATATATATTACATTCTTTGTGTGTTATAAACAATTTTTGAAAATATACGTGCATGGGTGGAGGAGGAGGATACGTGTGCTGGTCGGTCGTCGAATGATATCTCGAGATCTCAAGTTAAACCCAATAAATTCATGAAATATTATGGTATATATAGAAGACTGCTTACATCTATGAGGGAGCCCTATCTGAGAGGCACTACCTCAGGACGGCGAGGGCGAGATAGACTGCTGCAGGACAACCGCTAGGCGGTCGGAGGACTGGACAGCCCGACCGTGCGACTAGGCAGCGGTCAGGACCCAAAGAGTGGTGCGGCGACACTGGCCTAAACAGATCACCGACCCTGGGTCAAGCGATCAATGTTTGCTCCCTGTGTCTGGGACCCTGACTCCTATCTATGCTTACATCTATGGGGTAGTATTTGTCCATATTGTTTCATATGTTTCTGATATTTCTATACATCTGTTTATACTTTTTGTCGTTTGGTTATCATAGATTCTATTAAGAGTCTTTATTATAGATATTTATAAAATGAAAGGATTTAAAAGCACGAATGTTTCTTTTATACATAATACAAAGTGCATTTCTGAGATTCCATCCTTCAGTGCTGCATATATAAGAAGAATCGTCCAATACAGTATTAGAGCTCTGAGAAGCGGTCTGGTGGATTAAATTGGCCAAACCGCTGGGAGGATTCACCACTGATGAGCCAAGCCCTCCTAATATATTTTTCATCGCAGTAAAGGCAGTAGAAGATTATATTATGTATAAAAGAAACATTCGTGCTTTTAAATCCTTTCATTTTAGATGTATAGATGGCGCGTTATTGCTTTGTGTTAAATTATGGATATTGTTATAATCAGTAATGTTATTTACAATGTTTCAATGCAATAGTGGCTTCGATTTTATAACATCCTATGAAAGGAGTTGAAGAAATCGGTACAATTTACCAAACAGCTGTTTAAACTGGTGAAGTGACAAGGACCAATTTTAAAGTAAGAATTCAATACAAAGTTGCAGACGATTGATAGTAATCATTTACCAAAACGATGAACCTTTCGTATATACACCTACTAGCCGAATGACCCGGGCAACGCCCGGATTTTACACGATTAAATTCTTTTATTCAAATACTATTCGTTACAATTATAAATTGGCGCCGTGGATGTCATTCTTGTATAATATATGAATGAATTTTAAAAATTGTAAAAAAAAAAAATGCATCAGCCGGGAATCGAACCCGGGCCGCCTAGGTGGCAGGCGAGCATTCTACCACTGAACCACCGATAGTTATGAGAAATGGCCATATTTGGGTATTTATTCCATTCACAAAAGCAAACGGTGACAGAATTGATTATGACGCTGATAACTGTATATATTAATAATAATACCTCGATTTGCGTCGGGGTTACGTTCCAAAAAAAAAAAAAAAAAACACGACGCAAATTGAAACGACACAAAGTGAAAATAAATTTTCTATAGAAAAATTGTATTAAATTTGCGTTGATTTTTAGTTAGAAAGGGAATCCCCAAATTTTGATGGCATGGCGCAATCAAAAACAAAAATGTTGCCATATTTTAGGAAAAAAAAAAATAAAAAAAACTTAAAGACTCGAATCCAAAACAACGCAACTTCGAAAATCTAACGACGCACAGTGAAAAATCAGTAAAAAATAAGCAGCGACGCAACTTCGAAAAAAACGCAAAACGAAACGACGCAAAGCGAGGTATTGGTGTACATAGTAATAAAAGGTATAGGTACCTTTTTTGATCTATGAATATCATATTTCCGCAACTATGATATAAATAATCTTAGAAGCGGTCTGGTGGATTAAATTGGCGAAACCGCTGGGAAGGTTCACCACTGATGAGCCAAGCCCTCCCAATATATATATTTTTAATCGCAGTAAGGACAATAGAAGTTTGTATTATGTATAAAAGAAACATTCATGCTTTTAAATACTTTCATTTTATGTGTATACGAGGTGTGTTCAAATAGTATCGCGACTTTTGTGTTTTTTTCAAAAATTATTTATTTATCCATGAATATCTATTTTGTCCCCTTCAAAGTAATCCCCATGAGATATTATACACTTGTGCCAACAGTTTTTCCAATCTTCGAAGCACTTCAAAAAAATCATTTTTTAAAATCTTTTTCAGCTCCTCCTTCGATGCCATCTTTATCTCGTCAAGCGTAGCGTAACGTCGTCCTTTCATGGGCCTCTTCAGTTTAGGGAACAAGAAAAAGTCACAGGGGGCCAGATCTAGGGAATACGGTGGCTGCGGCATCATTAGTGTGTTGTTTTTGGCCAAAAGGTCGCGCACAAGCAACGATGTGTGAGCAAAGGCGTTATCGTGGGACAAAAGCCAATTTTTGTTCTTCCCCAAATCCGGGCGTTTCCGGCGGATTGCTTCGCGTAAATTGCGCATAACTTGCAGGTAATATTCCTTATTGACCGTTCTACCCTGTGGCGAGAACTCATGATGCACCACGCCCCTGCAATCGAAGAAAACTGTCAGCAAAACTTTCACATTCGACCGAACTTGGCGCGCTTTTTTCGGTCTTGGTTCGTGCGGAAGCTTCCATTGAGATGATTGAGCTTTGGTTTCCACGTCATAACCATAAACCCACGCTTCGTCACCAGTTATGACCATCTGGAGAAAATTTGGGTCGTCGCGGACAGAGTCCAACATCTCATTAGCAATGTTCATGCGATGCTGTTTTTGGTCGCAATTTTGGTACGAATTTCGCGGCGACCCGTCTCATGCCCAAATCATTGATAAAAATCGAATGGCACGAACCAATCGATATGTTTAGGTCCTCAGCAACTTCTCTAACGGTGATTCGACGATTGGCCAATATCATTTTCTCCACTTCATTAATTTTTTTCGTCTGTTGTTGAAGTGCTCGGGCGTCCGGCACGCTCTTCGTCGTTCACATCTTCTCGGCCTTCTGAGAACATTTTGTACCACCGATAAACGTTCCTTCGGTTCAAGGTAGCTTCTCCGTATGCCACAGTCAACATTCGGAATGCATCCGCGCACTTAATTTCGTTTTTCACACAAAATTTGATACAGGTTCTTTGATCCATTTAAAAATCGAAGACGATCCAAAACACCTGCAAGCAAAGCAGCTGTCAACAATTAAGTGAACATTCAAAATGGCCGAGCTTGTCGGCATAAGTGAGAGACATGAGTACCAACATAAAGCCAAAAAAGATCGAAATTCGAATATACGTACCCCGCGAAAATTCAAAAGTCGCGATACTTTCTGAACACACCTCGTAGATGGCGCGTTATTGCTTTCTGATAAATAATATTCAACAAACACAACAACAACGGCTTTATTAGGACATTTCCGTCCTGTAAGGACTCGCCATACATAATTTTCATGGAGAAAATGAAAAAAAAAAAAGAAAAAAGAAACATAAACAAAGGAAAGAAGGGAAAATGAAAAGGAAATCAAATTACACCCATACCTCGCTTCGCCTCGGGGTTACGTTCTAAAAAAACACGACGCAAATTGAAAATATGTGAAGGCGCAATCAAAAACAAAGGTGTTGCGATATTTTAGGAAAAAAAATTAAAGACTCGAATCCAAAACAACGCAACTTCGAAAATATAACGACGCACAGTGAAAAATCAGTAAAAATTAAGCAGCGACGCAACTTCGAAGAAAAAACGCAAAACGAAACGACGCAAAGCGAGGTATTGGTGTATTCAACGTAACTATACAAATTAACTATGGAAGGAAATTGTTCTGTAATTTTAGTTCTTAGAGATTACCTTGTTCTCTAACGTTTTATGAAAGTTAAACAATTCTATCGCTATAGATAATCGCTATAAATAATATTCATGTTTAATAAAGATTCTTCCTCTGATTTTACACTTTGACAAAAACAAATAGGGAATCTAAGGTTAAGTTTCTTTTTATTTTATTTATATTCTATTTAGGTTTTCTTTTAAAAAAAGAAAACCTAGCTTTATAGATTCCTTATTTATTTTGTCAAAATGTTGATTTTTTCCGTAGATGTCTGTAAATCTCAATAGCTTGGGGCACTAGCACCAAGGGCTGGGCAAGCATATGTAGATGAAGGGTTGGTTCCTTGTAGGAAGTGACCAAGACAAATGTTAATTCTGGATGATTAGATATAATTGTAGTGAGAGGTGTTTGCATTTGAAAAGGTCAGGGCCTTGTCTAACTTGTTTTTGCCTCCCCACCTTTCAGCACATCCCAGGCGTATACTGAGGTGTTATGTTATAGCTAGTGTAACGTCCTCGTGTTTGTTAGTCAACGTTTATCAGCAAGAAGGATCTGGAAGTTTAAAAAGAAAAGTCTTTATTTCGTTTAGGCTAACATCAGACATATCTTTATTTACGGGGCTGCTAACCAAAATAAATGATTTTTGAGCCACAATGACCGCGTAAAGCGGAATATATAAAACCACTATGACCAGGCTGGAGAGGCTAGGGACAGGATCTCTGTTAGAGAAGAGGCAGGTTAGGCCGGATTGGGTCTGCGGAGGTCAGGAGGCAGGAGACATCAGACATAAGTTTACATATGGATATACACCTATCCCCCGATTTACACGGTAGATACGTTCCTGAGAAAAACGTGTAAATCGGGGGATAGGTGTACAAAGAAATAAAAAATAAAATGCATTGACAGGTTAAAATATGTAGTCAGCACATAAGCTCGGGATTCCTCGTGAGATGTGTACACAGCGCATGTGTTCAATCACAGTAGCATTTAGTATAGTGCGATAAAAAAAAAACTTATTTGGAAAACCGTGTAAAAGCGAAAACGTGTAAAACAAGTACCGTGTAAATCGGGGGGGGGGATAGGTGTATATTACAATCAGTCAAAAAGGCACAGAGTACCATCAGTGATGTGCTCACTGATAATTTACTATATATCCTGTAGGTATACCAGCTGCCGTTACAGATAAGTTGAGCTTAGGATTGAATCATTTAGTTTTAGGATAAACTTACAAAGGTTTTTTATTTTTATTTATTAATCAATCAGGCGCGATATTGAAATATTTACGCCTATTACAGAGAAAACATTAAAAAAAAAAAATTTAAACTGAGAAATAAATATTTACAAATTTATATGTATTAATCGACAGAGTTCATAACATTTATATAGACAAAGTGGCTGATGGAAGAGAATTAAATGATTTAGATCAGGAAACAATTGAAGTCTCACTTCTGTAAAGTTCGGACAGTCATAGATAAGGTAAAGAGCAGTTTGTTAAAGGTATTGCCAGTAAAAGTGGCTAAATGTTTTCTTTGTTTCTAAATCTTTGGTATTTGTAGCAATTAGCTCGAGGTATTATAGATAGAATGATCCATTTGTATCAAAATGTTCCCAAAAAGATGGAATATATATTCAACAATCCATTAATTCAACATATACAAGAACTCTGATCCTTAATCTATTTCTTCTTCTTTCTTATCTCCACTCAATCAAATTAGGGTATCAAGCTTGTAGAGCTTGATAACCATCATGACTTGGTGAAGTAGAATGTATCTGCCTTTGTCATCAAGACTGGGAGCACTACTCAGTGACAGATCGACTTGGCTAATATGAAATGGCCGCCTCTGACATGAGGAACAGACGCCATGTGCAGCCACTCCTAACATGGAGTACAAACGCTGCTCATTCTGTATCCCTGGATTAGGATCCCTTACAGGGTACTATCAGCCGGGCCAGCTGAGCCCAGGTTTTTTAGTGAGCTTGTTACTGCTTCCCCTCCTCCTTTCTCATCCGGGCTTGAGACTGGCAAAGGCGGAGTTTTAATCTATTTCAATATATTAAGAAGAGAATTAAACAATCCAGGGATACTTTTCTCTTAATAGAATAGTTAATATCTTTAGATTTCGGCCTAGAGAGATGTTTACCCCTAGAAATATTGGTTTAATAATAAATTTGTATCCAATATATGCCTTTTATTTATTTATAGATATTATTATGGATTGCTCAATCTTTAAAATATATAATCAATAAAAATCCTATTTAATACAATATAATGCGGCTTATAATTGTAGAACGACATTTAAATTCATCCCGCATGCATTTCTTTTGAACGAAAGAAACACATGCGGGATAAATTTAAAATGTCATTCTACAAATATCCTATATGCCTATATATGCCTAACTGGCCTTATCATTATTGTTTGTGGAAGTGCATTGCTCAATGCAAATATTTGAATGTAATTCTACTGTCCTATAAGCTTATGTCCGTAGTTTTCCTGAAAACCATTTCTGAGATTCCATCCTTCAATGCT